ACGTGCGTGATTTCTTCAATGGCGGCTTCGCCGTCCTTGCACGTCCCGACGTTGCCAGTATGCTTACGAAGATCTACATTCGGGCGAAGTCTGCCATCGCCCGCGCGGAGAATGCAGCGTCCCAGGCCTGGAGGCAATGGGCCAGGGATGCTTTCTCTGCTGGCGCCTCGAAGGCTCACAGGTTCTCAAAGGTAAAGGCCATCCAAGAGGTTTTAAGCAACCAGGCGCGTGAGGCTCCCCACCAGCAGGCCGACGCGGAACTCGATCCCTGGAGGGAGGTTTGGTTGTCCCATGGTTGTTCGGTTCTCGAGGTTCCGCGGGGGTCCAGCAGCTGGCCCAGTCTGCCGCGTATCACGGCCGCTCAGGTGGAGGATGCCGTTCACACTTACCCCACTCGCACTGCTGGAGGCATGATGGGGATTCACCCAAGAGCCTTAATACACCTGCCTAGACAGGCTTTCTCGGCGATTGCAGAACTCTTTAACCTCTGCGAGTTGCACCTGGCTTGGCCCAGGGAGCGAGTTTGCAATGAGATGTGTCGTCTCGCCAAACCAGATGGTGGGACTCGACTGATCGCGCTCGTCTCTTTGCTGTGCCGTGTCTGGGGCAAAGTTCGCAAGCCCATCACCTTCGACTGGCAGGAGCGTAATGATTGCCACGCTGTTTGGGGGACTCGTCGTGGTTTCAGCTCCTCAGACAGTGCTTTTGCTCATAACATCGCTGCCGAGACGGCGGCGCTGGTCGGTGATATCTCCATTTCTGTCCTCGTAGATATGATCAAATGTTTCGAGATGGTGCATTCGGAGCAGCTGCTGAGAGAAGCTGAAGCTTTGCACTTTCCAATGCGGCTAGCTTGGATGCTGGTGGATCTGTACAGGCAGCCACGGCGTCTTCGAGCTTTCGGCAGTCTATCTGTGCAGTTCTGCTCGCATCAAGGCATCCTTGCAGGGTGCAATCATGCGACAGGCATGCTTTCCCTTCTCACGCTGCGTGCTGTGCGTAGGCTCAATGACATTTCGCCCTGTATCACACCGAGAGCCCTAGTCGACGACATATCGATTCAGCTCGTCACTTCGGATCCTCGGGACGTCCGTTTCCTGGAACGTGCGGTGAAAGTGTTCACTGAAGATGCCAAGGTCCTGGGACTCCACTCCAATGTCAAGAAGTCGGGGCTCATTGCAGGGAACACAGTGGCTCGGAAGGTGTTCTCGAGGATGGCTGCTCGGCTGCGCCTACCAGTTCGCAAGTGGATGAGAAACCTCGGGCATGAATTGGCTGCTGGTCGGGTTGTTCGCACGCAGGAGAAGAAAAGGTTGCAGGCTCTCAAACGTCGTCGTGACAAGTTCGTTGCGTTGAAACATGCTACTGGCAAGCGTGCAACCCGACTGTGGAGGACTGGAGCTCTCCCAGCAGCTGGACACGGGGGATCAGTGTCGGGCATCTCAGACACTGCGCTGAAGTATTTGAGGCAGCTTGCGGCTACGATCGCAGGGGCCAAGCAGCACGGTGGCATTACCTCGTATCTGCTGACGCAGGCTGATCCGCAATACGACCCGATCTACGACTCCACTACTGGTGTGTGTGTGAAGTTCGCCACGTTCGTCTGGGACGGAAGGTTGCAGTTATCGAGAGTGCAACGTGCTTGGACCCGCCTGAGAGACATCATGTCCGACAACCCTACGTGGCAGCAGGCTCGAGGTCCGCTGTCGGCGGTGTGGCTAAGCCTGCTTCGCATTGGCTGGACGATGACCAATGCCCACACCTTTCGCAGCGATCTTGGTACAGATATTTCGCTGCTGGTGGTGTGTCCAAGTGACGTGCGTATTGCGATTATTGAAGGTGTGCAGCGGTGGCAGATTCGTCGGTTGCAGCTGCATCTTTATAATACTGACCCTCCAGAAGGAGAGCCTTGGTTTCGTGCGTTACGTAATGGTATACGTGCTGTAAAAGACCAGCGGGCTCTTGGGGCCTTGGCGGCCGTCTGGGGGAATGTTATTCCGCTACCTGCTGCACTTTCTGCTCTACAATATGACGTACCACCTGCGTGCCTTGCCTGCTCCGCTCCTCAAGGTACGTACGGACACGTGTGGTATGCCTGTTCTAAGTTCATCACTGACGACGGGATTGACGCGCTGGGTGACGAGGTTCCTGAGGCCTTAGCTAAGCATAGGCGTGTTCTGATTGAGTCTCGGGCCTCTATCACTGGGGAGCCCGATGTGCACTCTAATTATTTAACTTATGGTATCCCACCTCTGCCCACTAATATTCCCGCTCCGCTTGCCAACCCCCCCATTTTCGAGTTCGGGGACGTCTCAGGGCCTTGGGGCCCTCTGTCTTTCACTGACGGCAGTTGTTTTCACTCTGGGGTCCCAGAGGTCTCCAGAGCTGGTTGGAGCGTTGTGCAGTTGTTCGATTGTCTGCTTCCGTTGAGGGCAGTATATGGTGCGCTTCCAGGGGAGCGTCAGACCATAGGTCGTGCTGAAAGGTGGGCAGTGCGGCAGGGTCTAGCTTATCACCCCCAGCATCAGTGTATTGTGTCGGACCTCCAGGCTGTAGTACGCGAAGGCAACTCGTGGAGCCTGCATCTGTCTCAAGGCATGTCCAAGCATGCGTCGATCTGGAGGTCCATTTTTGACTTGAAGTCTAGTCACCCCCAGTTCTCGTGGTTCCCTGCCCATCTGAGTTTTGACGACGTTTTGGAGCGTGGGCTGTGCATCAAAAGTTGGGCTGGGAACCTGTGGGCTGATTTTTTCGCCAAACTAGGGGCCAGCTCTCACACGCTTGCTGAAGGTTTCTGTGCAGCGGTTTCAGGACAGTTAAAATATCATAGGTCCACGGTGCGGTTTATCGCGTGGGCTGCTCAGCGTTTGCTCGAGTCAGGCACGTGGACTCACCTCGACCCCGAGCGTCCTCTCCGCCTCCTGAGAGCCCCCGCCCCTCCCAAGGTCACGGTCACCAGCCATGTTTTGTTTCGCTGCGAGGCCACCAGCACTTACAAGTGCAGGAGCTGTGGCCGCGTAGCTCGCACTCCAGAGTCGCTCAAGAGCCTGCTCACAAGCAGGGACTACAGTGTTTGCTCTCCGTCATCGATCCAGCGACACGTGTGCGACCAGTGGTTTCGTGAGTTTGGGGCGGCTTTTAGGCCCGTGCAGCTTGAAGCGGTGAGGGTTGCTCTGGCCGCCGCTGACGAGGCTCAGCGCGTGTGCAATGATGAATTCCAAGGTCCCCCGACTCCTGTGGCCACTCCTGAGCCGTCAGATGAGTTCTCTGTATTTCGGGACCTTGGGCACGACGTGTTCCGTCATCTGCATGTGTACTGTTGTAAATTGTGCGGGGCTCACGGATCTCTTGGCTCGCTGCGAAACCTCACGCAGCGTTGTAAAGGGAGGTCCAAAGTCCCGAGCACGGCCGCCAACCAGAGAATGTCGATCAGACGTCTGGAGCGCGGGTGTCACCCTAGAACGGGCGTGAAGATTCTTGGGGCTGCCGAGTGCGGAGTTGACCGTGCGGAGGAGCCCCACAGTGCTGATAGTGCAAGGCCGCTGGAAGCGGCCAGTGCTCCCGAACCCGTTCCCGATGGAGCGAGTTCTGGGTCGTCTGATTAAACTCGTTTTGTTTTTCCTGGGCCGCCCTTGTAGTCTGTCGCCCGTCGTCCCCTCCCCCGCCGCATACGTGTGCCTCTACCTGGCGCCCACGGTGTCGGGGAAGCAGGTGCACGACGTGGCCAGGCAGGCGGGGCGGCCCGCCCGCTCGGCCCACGCCTTGGCGTGCGCTGGGCGCTGATCGAACCGGACCACCAGCTCGAGGCTTGCCTCTTGCTGGTGGCGTGCGGTCCGCGCGCCTCCTCCTCCTCGTCCTCCTCCTCCTCCTCCTCCGCCTCCTGTCTACTCAGCAGCCGCCGTTGCCCTTGGTTAGGCTTCCGCAGGCCCTGGCTTGGTTGGAACCATCGAGGACCATCCTCGACCAACGAGCCAAAAAAACACGCACGACACCGACAAATGCACAGGAGATGGACGTCCGAGCGACGGCAGGTTTCGGGTTACCATCCCGTCTGCTCCGCGGGCGCCGTTGCCCTTGGTTAGGCTTCCGCAGGCCCTGGCTTCGGCATCACCCAACCACGCGTGCATTGCCTGTGCGTCGGAGCCGAAGGGGTGACGCGCGCGCGCGCTCAGAGATCTTGCAGGCTAGGCTCGGCGGTGGGCGCTGTCTTGCCCCACCGCCAGTGGTAGCAATATTCTACGAGATGTTTGTACTGTATGTTCGATTCGGACGTGCGCCTCCAATCAGGAGGGGAAAAAACACAGACACAATCAATCGTCGATTCCCCAGAAAATATAGGAAATATGGGAAGTGGGGGGGAAGACAAAAACCCAGAAAATATTGGAACATATGGGGGATCCTTTTATTTCTGTGTATTTATTTGTGTGTCCCAGGGCCCCTTCATAACTATTAGATTGTCCTTCTGCATCACATGGCTATCAAGCTCAAGGCTGCCATGCCCTTTGGTCGGCCAGGCTTGGAGCCCCTCGTAGGATTCTCAGGGGCACTCTGTTCCCTCGTCAGCGCGCCGACCGCCGAGTCGGGAAGCACCCCCGCGCGAGACGGAGCTCCTTCCGGCCCCTCGCCGCAAGATTCGTTGCCTCTTCGGCGACTTCGCTTGCTCGTGGGCGGGAAGCATCTCCGTATCCAGGCCTCGCGGGCCGGGCCCCTGTCGGGCCGGGCGAAAGGGGGGGATTGGGAAAGGGGGGGTTACGAAATTTGCTGCATGCAGCTGGTTTCGGCCTCACCGAGGGGCCCATTCTTCGATACACAGCCGCCTTCGACAATATCAGCTACGTGAGCTGGTTCTCAACCCCCCCCTTTGCTATCCCCCCCTTTCGCCCGACCCGACCCGGGGCCGCGACCCCGTGGATGCGGGGCGTTTTTTCGCAGATGCCCCGCGCGGGGCACACCCGCGTGACTTCCCCTTGCACTTGCCTGCTTCACCGCCGCGCGCGCGCCAGTCGGAGCCGGGCTCCCAGTGCTACAAGGTAGAGCTGGCAAACGAGAGCGAGCCCACCGGGAACGCTGGGAG